AATAAATTACTCTATATTAGTATCAGTCAGGATGCTGAGATTTTTACAGTAACAATCTCCAAGTATCAATGTCTTAAAACATCAAAAATTTCTTTCTTGCTTATGATACATATTCATTGTGGTTCTACTGGAGGCTCTGCTCTGTGTTATCCTCACTGCTGGGTCTGGGTTCTGGGAGCAGCCCACCACTTAGGGTATTGCCTGTCACTGTGGCAGAGGGAAAAGGACAGCATGGTGAGTCTTGTGGCAGCTCATAAGTCTTCGGCAGCTATCGTTTCTGGTCATATATCCTTGATCAGAGCAATTCACATAGCCACATATGATGTCAATGAGGGGAGGGAATTGCCATCCTATCATGTGCCAGGAGTAGAGAAAAGCCGGAGATATTTGTGAACAGCATTAGTGACTGCCAGAAACTCCCATACATGGTATATTGTTTCATTTATGATTTGCTCTTTTTGTTTTGCTTTTTTTTTTTTTTTTTTTGATATAGAGTCTCACTCTGTCACCTAGGCTGGAGTGCAGTGGCACAATCTTGGCTCACTGCAACCTCTGCCTCCTGTGTTTAAAGGATTCTTGTGCCTTAACCTCATAAATATATTAGTGTCTGTGGTATTCATGGATTTAATCTCTGGTTGGTATAGAAGTGCATGGTTGTGGGTTATTACTATGTAACTGCTTCATTATTTAATATAGAGTCCTTACAAGAGAACCAACTATGTGTGATCTCAAATTACTGTTTTTTTCTGTCAAAACATAACTTCTTCCAATATAGATGACCCTGATGTTGTTGAGAAACCTGAAAATATCATACCCTTTCTAAGCAAGCCAATATGAATCTATAGTGAATCATTCACTGTTATCAAGTGGGATTTATTCCTGGGATGCAAGGATGGTTCAACATCTGTGATATATCACATTAACAGAATGAAGAACAAAACCATATGATCATCTCAGTAGATGCAGAAAAACATTTGACAAAATTCAACATCATTTTATGATAAAAGCTCTAAAAAAAATTAGGCACAGAAAGAATGCACCTCAACACACAATAAGGGCCATATATTAAAAGCCTGTACTAACATCATACTCAGTAAGAGTTGAAAGCTTTCTTTCTAACATCAGGAATAATATGAGGATATTCACTCATGCCATTTCTATTCAATATAGTCCTTGTCCAGAGCAATTAGGCAAGACAAAGAAAAGGCATCCCAATAGGAAAGGAAGAAGTGAAATTGTTTGTTAGCTGATGACGTGATCTTATACATAGAAAACCCTGAATACTCCACCAAAAACTGTTGGAACTGATAAACGAATTCAGTAAAGTCTCAGGGTACAAAATCAATACACAAAAATCAGTAGCGTTTCTTTAGCAACAACGAGCTGTCTGAAAAGGAAATAAAGAAATCAGTCCCATTCACAGTAGCATTAAAAAAAACTAAAAATAAGTTTAATCAAGGAGGTGAAAGATCTGTATACTAAAAACTAAAAGACACTAATGAAAGGAATTAAAGGTTATACAAATAAATGGAGAAATATTCTGTGTTTATGGGTGGGAAGAATTAATATTGTTAAAATGCCCATACCACTGAAAGCGATACAGAGTTAATGTAATCCCTATCAAAACTGCAATGCTATTTTTCAGAGATCTAGAAAAATAATCTTAAAATGTATATGGAACCACAAAAAACCCTGAGGAGCCAAAGCAATTTTGAGCAAAAAATCAAAACTAGATGTATCACACTACCTGACATCAAAACCTATTACAAAGCTATAGTTATCAAAGCAGCCTGATATTGGAATAAAAACAGACACATCCACCAATGAACAGAATATATAGCCCAGAAATAAATTAATGCATTTATAGTCAATTGATTTTCAATATGGTGCCGAGAATACACATGGAGAAAGGACAGTCTCTGCAATAAATCATGTTGGAAACATTGGATATCCACATTCAGAAGAATGAAATAGATCTCATGCCATATAAAAAAATCAACTCAAAATGAATTAAAGACTTAAACATAAGATATAAACTGTAAAATTACTAGAAGAAAACATGGAGAAAAATTCATGTTTTCTTGAGTATGACCCCAAAAGCACAGACAACAACAGCAAAGATAAACAAATGAGATTACATCAAACTAAAAAGCTTCTGCATAGCCAAGGAAACAGTTAATAGAGTGAAGAGATAATCCATAGATTGGGAGAAAACATTTGCAAATCATACATCTGATAAGGGGCTGATATCCAAAATATATAAGGAACTCAACTCAATCACAAGAAAACAACCCAATTGAAAAAAATGGCGAAGGACCTAAATAGGCATTTCTTAAAAGAAGATACGAATGACCAACAGATACATGAAAAAACACTCAGCATCATTGATTGTCAGGGAAATGAAAATCAAAACAAAGGGAGCTATCACCTGTTGGTATGGCTATTACCAAAAAGATAAAAGATAACAAATGTTGAAGAGACTGTGGAGGAAAAGGTACCCTTCTACATTGTTGGTGGGAATGTAAATTAATACAGCCATTGGGGAAAAAGTATGTTGCTTCCTCAAAAAACTAAAAATAGGATTACCATATGATTCAGCAATCGTATTTCTGGGTGTATATCCAAAGGAATTGACATCAGTGTGTTGAAGAAGTATCTGCACTCCCATGTTCATTGTAGCATTATTCATAATAGCTAAATATGAAAGCAACCTAAGTGTTCAACAACAGATGAGTGGATAAAGAAAATGTTATGTAAACACACACACACACACACACACACAATAGAGTATTCAGCCTTAAAAAAGAAGGGAATTCTGTCATTTGCAGCAACATGGATGAACCTGAAGGACATTATGCTAAGTGAAATAAGCTAGGCACAGAAAGATCAGTGCCACATGCTCTCACTTACGTGGAATCTAAAAAAGTTGAACTGAGAGCAGTTGAGAGTAGAATGATGATTACCAAAGGTTGGGAGTGGTCGGGGAAATGGGAGCTGTTGATTCAAGGGTAAAAAATTTCAGTTACAGAGTAGGAAAAAGATGTAGTAATCTATTGCATGGAATGGTGACTGTAATTAATTACAATGCATTGCATATTTTGAAATGGCTTAAAGATTGTATTTTAAATCTTCTCACCACAAAAAAATTGATGAGTATGTGAGGTGATGGAATTGCTTGATTTAATCATTCGTAATGGAAACATATATCAAAATATCATATTGTACCACATAAATGCATACAATTATTGTCAACTAAAACAAAATGTAATTTAAAAATCCACAGTGAAAAAAAATTTGAGTATGCATATATTTAAAATATGTGCATGGGTAAAACTACCCTCAAATATTCAAACCAAATGATATTCTGAGAAGAATATTTGTATTACACAGGGTAGACAAAGAGTTATATAACTAGTATGCAGAGAGATTTCATAAAATAATAAGAGGAACTACAGTCCATTAGGAAAATTAGTAAAGGTATGAACAGGTCATTCTTGTGCAGGCTCACACACATGTGCATGTACACACACAGCCAACGAACTAAGGAAAGACACTAACTCTCAGCGCTGATGACGATGGGGGAAATGAGCATTCCTAGACACTGTTAGTAAAGTGTAGAATGGTATAAGCCTTTGTGGGTAATGTCTTGGCATACATTTTAAAATTTTAAATGTTTATATATTTTGACCTAGCCACCCAAGTTTTTGAAATCTATTACCTAGAAAGAAGAGGGAAACTCATTGCAGCACTGTTTATAAAAGCAAAAAATTAGAAGCAAGTTAAATACCTCTCGGTAAGGGAAAAGTGTATCCATAAAGTGGAACAGTATGCATATATTAGAAAAAGGAGGAAATAAGATTTATTGAGTGCTTACTATGTTCCATAGACAATTTTAAGTGCTCTTTTGAGAATAGGTTTGTAAATAAGAACAAGATAATATATACATGATATATTAAGTAAAAAATAAGGTTTCAGACCAATATGAAAATAAATGCAATAAATAAATGTAAGTATAAATATATTATTGTAAAGGTCCAAATATTTATATTTTATATATTTCTACATATAGATATATAAATATAGACATAGTTGTACAAATATAGGAAAAGTTGGGAAGGCTATACTCTGAAGTCTTAATGATTAAGTCTAGGTATTGGATTAGATGGGGGGAGGCTTTTATTTCTTACTTAATTATAGAACCAAGGGATTATGGGTAATTTTTACTTTTTTGTGTTTTTCAAATAAAAAAACAAATAAAAACATTTTGGTGGTGATGGTGCAGGAATAGTAGTGATTTGCTCCACCGTGGTAAACATAGCTTGATCTATGAATGTGGTTGTTGGCAGAAAATCTTGGAAGCAGAGCTCTTCTTTGATGAAGTGGTCAGAGAGAACTGGATGTTCTCCTAATTGGGGAGCCTTAATTCTGTGTGTAATTTATAACTAAGAATACATTTGAATTTTTTTCCCTTTTTAAAAAACTTATAAGTTCATAGGTACATGTGCAGGATGTGCAGGTTTGTTACATAGGTAAATGTGTGTCATGGGGGTTTGTTACACAGATTATTTCATCACCCAAAATACACTTTAACAATAGACAATAATTATTTCCCTTATTGAGATTGGCAGCCACCAGGGAAAGGGAAATTTTGGTAGTTACAATTGGGAAGATGAAGGATAGAGAGGTATATTTTGAGAAAAAAGTGTAGATGGGGTAGCAGTTTGGATTATTGTGGTGTCACATGAGGACTCTTATCCCAGGGGGGTTGGATAAACTAGGTAGGGGTAAATGCTTTTTGATTACTTTTGCATACCTGTCTTTGGTTCTATTGCTTGTTTTGCCATGAAAGTAATTTAAAATTCTAGATTAACGATGCCTAAGTTCGAGTATTAGGTCTGATTTGGAGGGATCAAATTTTATTATCAGTGTTTACTTAGCAGTTTCACTTTGTCTAGCCCAGGACTTCCTTAATGTTTCTCTCCTTTCCATTCTTCCTTCAGAGTCACGGAGAAGAGGAGACAGCGTGTGCAAGGGAATGAAGAAAAGGACCAAGACTATTTTCAAATCACCCATGGCACTACTAGAAAAGTATTTCAGCAAAAAGACTGGCTGATTTTATGATTCCTGTGTCCACCACATCCCTCTAATTTTTACATACGTACCCCACATCTCTCCAGATTTCAGGAAGACTATTATTCTTTGACTTTAGCTTTCTGATGAGTTCACAAAAAGCTGTTAGTGTGCTGTTGGTCCAGCTTTTTTCTTGTTGGAAATATGAGAGCTACAGTTCTGAGATGAAACCACAGGTAAGTGTTATAATTTTAAGTAATTGAATACTAAAGTGATGCAGGTGAACTAAATTAGGTTAAGTAGTAAAGAAAACTAGACCGAAGTCTAAAAGATATATGATTAGAAAGGATACATAAGCACTATAATTAAGAAAACAGCATCAGCAAAAAAAAACCCACTCAGTTTTATAAAATGATTTTTGGCCGGGCACCAAAATCCCAGTACTTTGGGAGCCTGAGGCAGGCAGATCACGAAAGAGAGAGAAACCATCCTAGCCAACATGGTGAAACCCCGTCTTTACTAAAAATACAAAAATTAGCTGGGCGTGGTGGCACGCACCTGTAGTCCCACCTACTTGGGAGGCTGAGGCAGGAGAATCACTTGAACCCGGGAGGCAGAGGTTTCAGTGAGCCAAAATCGTGCCACTGCACTCCAGCCTGGCAACAGAGTGAGACTGTGTCTCAAAAAAAAAAAAAAAAAAGATTTTTAGTTATTTGTCAGTATCTATGGAACATTTACTAAGTACAACATACCTTATTAAATGATTTGCCTACCTTTTAAAATGGAATCTTTTCAGCAACCCTCTGAAGTTCTTTTATTATTTCCATTATGAGGAAACTGAGGCACAAAGAATTTGAGTGACTTGCCCAAGGTCATACAACTAACAAATGTTGGAACTGAGACTCCAGTACAGGAAATCTGATTCTATAGTCTGTCTTTATTATATAAATAAAGTGAGACTATCACTTTTTCACATGTTAAAAGGAATCCAGTTGAACAAAGAAAGAACATGCTGTAAGAAATAGTTCAATAGCAGATGATCCTTTAATAGTATGTGAAAGGAGAAATATTCTCATATGGATGAAAAGAAGAAAAGAATAGGAAAACCTGTGAGGATTTTAGAGCACCCTGACCATCTGACCCAGGCAGACACTTCTAAGAGCTGCATGGAACTGTATCTAAGGTTGACAGGAATAAAACTGTCCATCTTATCTTACTTTTCTTGTACATACCCTTGGACTCCTCTCTATTATTCACTGGCAACTCCAGTTCTTGAACTCTGAAAATTCCACCAATGCTATTTGAGCATTGAGAAAAGATACTTTTCATTTTAAGTTACATCTTCCCACTGTTTGTAGATGTTATGTGTATTCCATTGCTAAGGAATCATTCTCTTTGCCTGAGGAAAAAGACAGTTTAAAAATAACTTGTGTTGTGATTAGAAAAGTCTTTGTATACAGATACCTGAAAGAGAGAGAATGCACGGGCACCTGTATAACACATGATGGGTGATAGTTTTCAACTGTGCTTGGGGGGAAACATTTTGTTTTGTATAGAAATAAAGTGTAGACAAGAAAAAAAGGGATATGTTAATGTGAGGCATATTGGAATGTATTTAAGTATATCTGTTGTTAACAAACTGGATAAATCCACTAAATAGATAATATATAAAATTTACAGGTTGCAGGTGGCCATAGGTCCTCTTTTTTACCTGTTAGTGATGGTGGTAGAGGGGAAGGCAGGCATAGGGGAGTAAGGGAAATAGTATTTCCACCAGGAGAATTTTGAACCTGAAATGTAAGAAAAATTGTATTTTTCTATTGTATTTACCAGTTATGCTTCATACAGATATTGAGTGATTTTCAAGTTATTGTTTGTAAGGCCCTACTATAGTGTTGACTCTATACCCTTTACCATATGCCCAGTGAGGGGTGCATTTGGACATCTTAATGTGAGTCCAAGAATTCCAGGGAATTCAGGATATTTTGCAGCATCATTCTTTATTTCAAAGTCTAGTCTAGACTTTTAAATATTTGAATATATTGGACTGTAAACAAAACAACATCTTGTTGAAAAGAACAACTGTCTCCATGCAACCTGAATGGATGGAAGCAGTATTATCTTTAGTCCAAATCTGAAACAAAATCTGCTTCACTAAACTTTCTTGCAGACAAGCAGACTGCTTTGTTTGAAAATGTGAGATTGGAAAATCTGGCTGGAAGTTTTACCTTAAAATTTTTTCTTCCTATGGGGAGGGCATGGGCTCTCTGGTGACTCTTTGTTCTGGCAGCAGGAGGAAGGACATGGCGCTGGTGTCCCGGCTGGAGGAGCCAAGGGTTACCCGGTACCTTTTATTTTCACATTAAAACACTATAGAGAAAAGGATCTGGCTTTCCACCTTTTAATATTGCTCAGTCATTTCTTTTTACTTTTTGCTTCAGTGAGCACAGTATGTGGTTTGCTAGGGAAGCTATTAAAAAGAAAACCCTTCAGTTTTATGGATTTTGGCAAAATCTATAGTCAATGCAAGTTTTTTAATTCCTTCACAACTACTCTAATTCTCTAAACCTTGGTGAGGGCATGCTCAAAAATTGGCTCATAATTTGTAATTTACAAGTGACAGAATGTTTTGACATTAGCAAATGAAGGGAAATGTTTTATATAACAAACCATGATCATGGCTTTCCAGTTTGGTCATTTGTACTGAGCAGATTGTCACAATCAAAGCCCAGGCCGTTAGAAGCCTAGGCCAGTTTTGTTGAAAGTTTCTGGGTAACTAAGATCATTCAGGCTTGGCCTTGGAGTATATTTAGATTAAAGTGGTTATCCCCTCTTTGTGTTCAGAATGCCCACCCCTCTCCCATCTTTCTTTTTGCTCTAACTTATAAACTTGTTTGCATGTGTATTTATAATTTGTAGTCTATATTCACCTCTGGGTTTTAACTTCCTGCATTTCATTTCTTAAGAATCCTTCTCAGCATTTCACCATCTCCTAAGTGTTAGTGAGTAAAGGATAGCAAGAAACTTGAAAGAGAAGGTGCTAGTGGGTCAGGGAAAAGTCCAGTGTAGAGGCTATAGTCTTACAGGATGGTAGAGGCCATACTTCTGGTGACTGTATTCATCATCCACTTGGATTCTCTCTCGCACAAAGTCTGATTTAGGGTAGATAGTGTCATCTTTTAGTTGGCTTAGAAAAGCTTGACCCCAAATGTACTCTGAGAAGTCCTTAAAAAGAAATGTATAATAATCCAGTAATTCTCTAGATAGGAAACTTAAAATTCTGTAGGAAGTATGTGTAACATACAGAAATAAGTGAAGTGGATGACAATGAAACTAACATTGCTTTTTAAATCACTGTATGTGCATAAAATACACATGCATAAATAAGGCCCACTGGCTGGCTGAGTATGACTCATGTTTTATACTCATTTTGTTTTCTTGAAATAAGAAAGCTTAACTGGGTAATAAAGCTCCCTCTCTTCTGGTCCCTGAGAAACCAACCTCCCAGCTGCAGGTCCCATTTTTAGCTTGGACAAATCTCATCTTATTTAACCAATCTTTCCATAAGTGGCTGAGTTGAGGAAGTTATTACTTTCTGTGGTCTAAATTGCCTAACAGAAAGTCGTTTTACCTAAATCCTAGGACCCCTGTGGGAAAATCCCAATTGGTTACTGTGCTTGTAAACTAAATATAGTTTAGTTTTATCTGTCTCCTCCTTATAAGCAGAACTAGTTTTAAGATCTTCACTCACATCACCTTAAACTTGAAAATTTCCTGTTTGTTATAGCGAGAAAAGCAACTCAATTCTCCTATTTCTTTTTTTTTTTTATTTTTTATTATACTTTAAGTTCTAGGGTACATGTGCATAACGTGCAGGTGTTACATATGTATACTTGTGCCATGTTGGTGTGCTGCACCCGTCAACTCGTCAGCACTCACAACTCGTCATTTACATCAGGTATAACTCCCAATGCAATCCCTCCCCCCTCCCCCCTCCCCATGACAGGCCCCAGTGTATGATGTTCCCCTTCCCGAGTCCAAGTGATCTCATTGTTCAGTTCCCACCTATGAGTGAGAACATGTGGTGTTTGGTTTTCTGTTCTTGTGATAGTTTGCTGAGAATGATGGTTTCCAGCTGCATCCATGTCCCTACAAAGGACACAAACTCATCCTTTTTTATGCCTGCATAGTATTCCATGGTGTATATGTGCCACATTTTCTTAATCCAGTCTGTAACTGATGGACATTTGGGTTGATTCCCAAGTCTTTGCTATTGTGAATAGTGCCGCAATAAACATACATGTAAATATTGTTAGAAAGGGTCTGCTGTTGGATACAATTCAATTCCTAGGACTGTTGTGGGGAAATCTGAATGAATATGTTGCATATTGACCTAGAAATATATTGTAAAACGTGATTGATTTGCAAAGAAGATCTGAAATTCTGTGGTATTCGTCAGATATTGCTCCTTTTGTAAATGTTAAAAGCCACAAATCTTTTTTTCTTGTCAATTGAATACTTAAGAGGATTGTATAATAATTATCCTTTAAAAATTGGATTAATATTTAACTGTGTTCAGTAAAATTAATTGGAAGCTTCTACAATTCAGGCACAGATAGTTGTCCAAGTAAACTGCAAAGGCTCTATGTTGCAAAATTATTTAAGCATATAATAATTATACCTTTCACTTGTGTATGACATTTTACAGATAACTCACTATTAATAAGTATTTTTTAAGGTAATTATAAGTACATTCTGCTTTTATTGTTATAAATAAGCCTTCTCGTTCCCCATAAGAGAGCTTATTATTATCCCCTTAATGTGGAAGAGTAAATGGAGGCAAAGACTGAGCATTAATTGTAGGACTGTCATCTATCTAAGCTGATTAGTATATGGTAAAGGGATTAATATCTCTGAATAGATTATAATTTTGATATCTATGACTTATCTCTAATAATATTTCTTAACCATATCAGCAAAATGGAATCATTTGCAGTTAAAAAATACCCTTGTAATGGCTTTAAAACATGACCAATCGATTCTCTGATACTCCTTCATTAAGGATCTTTGTCCCTTTTCCTTGAATTAGGGCCTTGTGACTGTTTGACTAATAGAACACAATGAAAGTCCCACTGTGCCCATTTCTGGCTTGGGCTTTAAGAAGCTAGCAGCTTCTATTTCCTATCTTAGGATCACTGCTCTTGGAACCCAGCTATCATGCCACAAGGAAACCTAA